TCTGACAGAAGCCAGCTGAAGCCCCTGCAGAAACCCAAAAAGCCATGCAGAAATCCTATAGTATAAGACCCTGATGGAGGCCCCTAGAGAGAGAAGCCCGTTAGAGCCCATGTAGAGGATTCCAAAAAAATAGGGGACCCTAATATAGTACCCTAAACAGTAGGATCCCTATCATAAGGACCCAAAACTAAGGTACCCTAATTTTCGGAAACTCCTAAACCCTAGACCCTTTATAGAACCCTTGTAGATCCCTTTAAAGGAACCCGAAAAGCATCCCTTTAGAGGTACCCCTCCGTTAACGCCCATGTAGAGGCCCTAAACTGCGAATCCAGGCCGTGGCAGAGCGGAAGTTCCAGAATTTCCGGCAAGCGCTGCGGTTCGGGCGTCCCTTGGCAGCTGCATGGCCTAGGGCCGGGCCGGGAGTTTAGAGTTGAAGGGTTTCAGAGCCTGGGTTCAAAGAAAAGGGTTGAAGGGTTTATGGTTTGAATGTTAGGGTCTTGCGGGCATTTGCGGTCTCCGTGGGTGGCGTGTACTGCTTTGAAAACTCGATGCTTTAGCCCAGAAGTTTCAATGACTGATTGAACTTCGTAGCCATAAGCCTCAAAACCCTGGACCATCCACCCGGATGTCATTCAAGGCCCTAAGCCCTAAACCCTAAACCCTAAAGGGCCCTTCGCGTCGCTGGCGGAGAGCCAGCTGCGCAGCCGCCCCGCGCGAGGCATCCGTCGGTAGCTTCGGGTGGGGTCGTTCCCCAGAGACTCCAACATCCCTTAATTAAGGAATATTCCTTAAATTATGGTAGGATCCCTTATTATGATTTAAGGTATATTCCTTAAGTAAGGGATATTGGACTCTCTAGGCTTAGTAGGGGCACCTTGCTTTGAGGCTCTCGTAGTAAGGATCTTGCGAGGCTTTTACATGGGATCCCTCATGTCTGAATTTGTGAAGTAGGAGGTCTAAGCGAGGGATTTCAGGGGCCAGAGTCTGGGTTTCGGTGTTCAGGTGTAGGACCTGGGGGTTTGGGGCAAGCTTCTGTTGGGTTTAGGGCAGCAGCGCATAGACCGGAAACCCGAAACCCCTTGACCCTAAGCCTCAGACCGTGACTTGTCAACGATATACCCCTAGACAGAAACATGCAGAAGCTTTAAGTTCGGAAGGAGATGAGGTGGCGGCCCGCATGGCGGCTACAAGGTGGGCTCGTGGGCGTTGTTTTTGGGAGCCTTCCGGATTTCTAACCTTTTTCTAACATAGGGACCTTAATAATTACCAATACTATTTTGGGGGATCCTTTCTATAGTTATAGTATAACGGGCCCCAAATTTCCAACTCTAAGACTTAAAGCCCTGCATATTACCTCAATTCAGCCTTAGGGGGTGTAGGGTTTAGAGTTTAGGATACGAGCTAGCTGGCCCACGCCAAAAGCCCGTGCCGCAAAAGGGTACGCTCCTCAAAATCCCTAGGCCTTAAACCCGAAACCCGCCTGCAAGTGGTAGCGAAAGCACAAAAACCCAAAACCCAAGCCGTGGTGGGCGTGCGCGGCCTTTGTGCTCCACAACTCCGACTCCTCGCCTACCAGCCAGTGTATAGCCTAAGTCATTGCCAATTTCATGTCTTGACGTAGCGAAATGATACTGTATGATGTTTGAGCCCGAAACCCTAATCTCACTACATCTAACTACAAAGGCCCCCTGTAGTGGTTTTGTTCCGCGGGTCCATCGACCCGATATTTGGGGGGAAAAACCGAAATTTTCAACCCTAGTGTCCTGCTTGGTAGGAGGGAAAAGTCCGAAACCCTACACCCCCATGTTCCCCCAGTCCTAAACCTTTGACCTGAGCCGAGCTGAGCTGAAAAGCTCCCGTTGCGGGTTTGGTCTTCTTGCTCTGGGTGCAGTTTTTCGGAGGGGAATAGGGTACAAAGGCGCCAAGCACGAGGCTTTGGCTTGGGTTTGGTTACAGGATGGTATCAAAGTGTTGGCATACAATGGCATACAACAGAGTCCTAAATGCACTCCCATGATATTAGAACTGATAGTTTGGGGTTTCAGGAATTACGCTAAGCTTTTCCAGTCTGATGGCCTTGACGTCGTTTTGTGCAAGCCGTCGGTTTCTTACAGGTTTAGGTTTCATTGAGGGTGCTCAGGAACCTCTGCGGCTTCGGGTGACGTAGGGGCCTTAATCATTGCGTATATTATTTTGGGGGTTCCTTGTCATAATTATAGCATAATGGGCCCGAAAACCCTATTCTAATCATTAAGGCACCTATCGTGTGTGATTTGGAGGCTGCGGCCGTGGACTGTTGAGTTTAGGGCTTCCGGTGTGTCAAATCCGTGTCGCGGAAGCTACAAAAACCCTCAACCCTAAATCCCAAACCCTAAACCCCAAACCCTAAACCCTAAACCGCAGAAGGTCACCGGGCCCAGGCACAAGAAAGGCGGAAGGCCACAACAGAATGTGAATACCGTGAAGTGACCACCGGAAGCCCCTAGGACGAAGGAAGCAACCTTGAAGACGTCCGGAGACGTGAAAGACCCAGCAGCCAAAACCCAAAAACAGGCTTCGGGTCGCATTGCGATCGCACATGGCGTGATTTGCATGACGATAGTATGCGACCTCAACCCTAAGCCCTGAATCTCATTAACGTTGCCGCTGCACAGTGACGCCAAGTACTAGCAAGCCAAGCGGCCAACCGGAACTCAGAATCGAAAGCAGCCTAGATCACCGAAGACTCGGAGGATTGCAGCATTTGGGGTTTAGGGCTTTGGGCCTTTGGGCTTTAGGGCTTTGGGGTTTAAGACTTAAACTTTAGGACTTTATGACTTTATGGCTTTAGGGCTTTATTGCTTTGGGGCTTTAGGGCTTTGGGGCTCCAGGGCTTTGGGGCTCTAGGGCTTAGGTGCTTTCAGACCTTCGGGGAACTTTAGGGTTCATGAATGGGGAAAGGAGGGACCCTTAATGGGGACCCCTACCCTATAATGGGCTATATAATTGGTATATAATGGCTCCATTAAGGGTATATACCTACAGGTCCTTATTAAGGGTCCCTGCTTTTACCCTTGGAGTTGACGGTCTGTGGCTTGCTCCTCTCCAGTTGCACCTGTGTAGCCAAGGTGCGTGAAAGCTTGTCGCTTGGCACGAGTCTGTGATCGACGTTGAATGATGCCCCCTAAACCCCTAAACCCTAAACCCTAAACCCCAATAATTGACCCTAAGCCCTATAGAACCCTTAACCCTACAAGCCCGGATCGACAAACCGAAGTCCTAAAGCCCTAGAGACTTAAACTCAAGACTCAAGACTCCGGACGGTGATTCGCCAGACATCGAAGCGATCCGAAATTCCGCAAGTCCTAAGCCCTAAGTTCGAAATCCCCAAACCCGACGCCCCAAAATCCTACATCGTTTAGAGAGCCTAAAGCCCTAAGCTCCAACAAACCTTCAGCCCTGCGATGGGCGCTCAACCGGGAACCCAGCTGCCACGTCTAAAGATGTTGGCCCAAAGCCCTAAACCCTAAACCTACCTCCAATGGCCTGGCCCGCTATGATTTCCTCGAGACCTCTGCCAAATGATGACCAATAAGCTTGCGAACTACATGATCCCAGCTTGTACAACGACAACTACCTGTTCGATGTTTGGTCTCACCTGCGTGTACCTGTAGAGGCAGACCTAGGTCGTCAGACTCTGGTCATCACGCATCAAAAAAAAACCCTAAACCCAACACGGTGAGGCCTCAAAGCATCAAACGCCTCAGCACCCTCTCATCCCCGACTGCAGCCTTCATGAAGCCCTCATGGCCCCTAGAAACAACAACAAAGCCCTGAAAGAGCCCACTAAGAACCCTGCATGACGCCTGCATAACACCTGAAGCCCACAATCCTAAGCCCCAAAACCCTAAACCCAAAAATCCTAAACCCCGTAATCCTAAAAGCCCTAATCCCTAAACTTCATAATCCTCAACCGCAAAAAAATCCTAAACACTCTACTCCTAACCCCCCGAAGCCCCCCCACCCCTTGAGGCTACCTCTCCCTGCAGTGGCAGCATGCCTTGACCCTCACATCCGAGGCTTCCCAGGGCCTTCATGCGACTTCGGGGTTTAGGGTTTAGGGTTTAGGGTTTAGTAGTAGTAGTAGTAGTAGTAGCAGTAGTAGTAGTAGTAGTAGTAGCAGTAGTACTCAAAAAGGGTTAAGAGTTCCTGAAAGGGTTCCTGAACAACCTTCTTTAAGGGTGGGAATTTCCGAGGGTTCGTGAAGGGGTGTGTAAAAGGGTTGCTAAACCGGGCTCGTTCAAGAGCCCAGGGTTTAGGGTTTAGGACCTAAAGTTTAGGAGTCCCTGAAAGGGTTCCGAAAAGCTTAAGAGGGTTCTTTGAAGGGTTCCTCCAAGGGTTCTTGTTCGGGTTCAGAAAACAAGGTTCCCACCAGGATGCGGGGTTTCAATTTTTAGGTTTGTGGATTTTCGGATTAGGTTTAGGGTTTGAAGGCTTGAAGGAGTTAAGGGTCGGAGCGCTCGGCAAATAGGATTTGGGCTTGAGGGCTTCTAGTTTATTTTAGGGTTTAGGGTTTCGGAGATGTAAAATCTTACTATGGCCGCTAGTCCTGATGCAAACAGGGTTGTGGCTCTGGGTTCCAGATTTTGCAGTTCAGGCTGAGAAGCCACGACCCCTAACGCCCCAAACCCCTAAACCCTAAACTCTAAACCCACGTCTTCTTCACCTGCAACAACTTGATTTCAAGCCATGCTGCCCCGCCCTACTACAGGGGCCTAAATATCTACCGATACTATTTCCCTATTTTGGGGTGCAATATTCTTGAATTTTTGTTGCTATTTCTATTACTCTACTATAATATATCCCCAAAGCAGTATCTTTATTATTCAGGCCCCTGCATTACTCAGAACCCCAATGGAAGCCAAAAGCCCCAAGCCCCAAGACCTTTCTACCCGAAATCGCTCGGCCCCAGGCGCTAAATCGAATTTATGTAGCAGCAGTCAACAGCAATCGTTCCTGCCATGTTGCATGTGTGGAGTGTTTCTGGCGATGAGCTGGCGTCTGTCTCCAAGGAGGAGTGCCGTCTTGTGCGCGACGTGAAGGAGCACTTGCGCACACGTTGCGGTGTCCCAGTGTGCCTGCAACAGCTCGTGTGCGACGGGCGATGCTTAGCGGATGATGACGTGGCACATGCTGACCTTCAACTGGTTCGGCTGACCGAACTCGACGCAGATCAGCAAGGAATTGCCGGAGAGGAGCTTCTGGAAGCTGCGCGAGGTGGCGACGCAGAAGCCGTACGTTTCCTCCTGCAAGCAGGCCTATGTCATAGTTGGGTAACATCTTACATTCTTATGGGCACTTAAACCCAACAAGGAATAGACACCAGAATTTTAGTTGCTATCCCAAAAATGGACTAGAGGTGTGAAGATGGACTGGGCAGACGAGGCAGGCTTTACAGCTCTCCACCGGGCGGCCGAGAAGCACTCTGAAATCTGCTCCCTGCTCGTGGAAGCTGGTGCTGACACGGAGTATTTCAATGAGAACGATGAAACGCCCCTGATTCTCGCAGCTCGTGGCGGCCAGACTGCGGCCGTATGTTTGCTGATAGATGCTGGCGCGAACATCGACGCGCAGGACTGTCTCTGCCGAACCGCGGTCAAGGAAGCAGCGTCTGGGGGACATTCCGAGATCGTGCGCCTTTTGTTGGATGCTGGGGCCGACACCGATGTCGGCGATGATCGTTTGGACACCGCTCTCATCAAAGCAGCAGGTCAAGGACACACCGAGATCGTGCAAATGCTATTGGATTCTGGCGCCCAAAAGGACGCGATTAATGGTGTGAGAGCGACTTCACTTATTCGCGCAGCAAGTCACGGCCATGCGGAGATTGTACGGCTACTTGTGGATGCTGGTGCAGACATGGACGTCCGGGATTGTGATGGCCGAACAGCTCTTGCTCACGCGCGGTTTGCAGGCTTCGCTGATGTTGAAGAAATCTTGCGTGATGAGCACCGCACAAAGCAACGCCGGCTTTGACGAAGACTTGCACCCAGAGACTCCAATATTCCTTAATTAGGGAATATCCCTTAAATCATATTATGGATCCTACTATAATTTAAGGTATATTCCTTAATTAAGGGATTTTGGAGTCTCTGGGCATTCTGTCCGTCATATTATGGATCCTACTATAATTTAAGGTATATTCCTTAATTAAGGGATTTTGGAGTCTCTGGGCATTCTGTCCTCCATCGCATGACGGTCATAACCGGCTGGCAGCTAGCTGTGAGGAGCTGGAGTCGTGGAGCCTAGAGCGGCATCACCACGGAGCCGAAAATGATTACAGTATAGTATGCTGTTAGCACTTAGATGGCATATTATCTTATTGTTACATATGATGCTATACTATATGCTTTTGTTGTCATATCATATCATATCAACATCACAGTTTAATATACTTCACTCTATTATACTGTACTGTGTACATTTATGCATGTTGTATACGTACATTGTATATGCTCTCGGGTCCCGGGCCGCCACACCCCCCCCCCCCCCCATGGTATCCCCCCACCCCCCCTGCTGGCCTGCTGCTGCACGCCCACCCGCCCTGCGCCCCGCCCGCCCTTGCCCGCCCCCGGGCTTGTGCGCGGATCGGGAGTGTCGCACTATGCCCTGCCGTGTGCGGAAAGCGGCAATCGGCTCAGTAGTTTTCAGCATCTGACATGAATGGCAATGCTGAATTATGAGGCGGGCGCAGCATGTAGAGTGGCAAGTCAAACCACTTCAGATGCTACGTTCTCAGCTGGACGTGACATTGCATCTGCCACTTTCTGTGCAACACACCCTTTAGAGTTGTTCGTAGTGATGAACCTTTGGCCACTTCAGAAGCCACACACTTATAGAAGCGCAGCTCTGGAAACACATGTGCAAGAAATCACCAGCTATCCCACTCGATCCTACTTCCGAATCCATGCCACCGATCCAGATGTCCAGATCCAATCCATGCCACCGATCTGATCTACCACCAATCCCTGCGACCGTTTCAACTCACAAACTCCCCACTTCCAATCCATAATGCAAACTCTCTTCCCGATCCACATTACAATCCTCTCGTTGAGAGAAAGATCATAACTTTTCCATCAGCGATCAAATCAAAACTCTTGATCTTCTACCAGATCACGATCTCCTCCACCACCGATCCAAAAAATCTTGCCAAAATCCGACACAGCCAGCCTCAACACATCGCCAACCATCTGCAACTCCATTCATTCATTTCTGGCATCAAACAACTCACCTCTATGGTCTCCATTCGCATGAATAACACACCCAGCTGACTTTCAGAACTCGTCCAGTCAACAGGGCTCTCGCAGATCATGCGTTTTCAGGTCTGTTTGGTGGTGACCTCGCAAAGTCTCAAGCCTTTTTCGTGAGCTCTGGCCAAAGCTGGACTGACAAATGTCTGAACTGTGTAATTATGCTAATAGACTGGCGGCCAGTATTTTTTCTTGAACAAAGATCTGCTGGCTCCAATCCGGCCAAAGACTCTGCCAAATGGAGTGCCTCAAACCGAGCAAAGGAAAGTACTGAGACAGAAGTGGTACATCGTCGCAGGCATTGTTGGGTCTGGCTGTGTGCTTGCTTGTGTGTGTACGTTTCTGTGCGTGTTTCTGTGTCCATGCGAAGCTGGAATTTGTCTGTGTGTGTTTCTTGTGTGTATGTGTTCGTATGTGCGTGTATGTGGAGAAGCATGTGTGTGTGTGTGTGTGTGTTTGTGTGTGTGTGTGTCTATGCGTGTATGTGTGTGTGTGTGTGCGCGTGTGTGTGTGTGTGTGGAGAAGCTGGGAGTGTGGGTGTGGGTTTCAAAAAATGTTGTTGCAGTCAATTTCCTTGGATCAAACGTTTTGGAACTGCTATGGCGCGAACAACGACGACAGCAATGGCTGCTCGTTGGGAAGCTGGAGGGCAAGTTCAGATGGGTCCAGCAGGTCGTGATCGCAGAACTAGATCCAGAATTCCAAAGTCACGGCAACCTGGAGCTCGGAATGAGGAAGATGATCGGACGGAGCCAGCTTCTTCCTCCAGAGCAAAACCCATGAAGAGACCTGCGGCTGCAGCCTTGCAAGACATGTTTGAATCCAAAAATGAGGTGCCGCGACGTGCGTACACTGATCCTCACCAGGAAAGTCCACAGCGAAAAAGAGGCAGACAAGCAACTTTGAGCAGATCGTCTTTGACCCAGCGTTTCTCTCTGGACGGCATTTTGACCTCTTCTCCCAAAGAACTGCTTGAAATTCTGATTGACTTGGGCATGGTGAAGGATGGAGGACTTGATGCTTGTGAATGGTGTGCAGCCACAAACTGGCGTATCGAGTCCAAGGGAGACCACGCCTGTTTCGATGCAAGAACAAGGATTGTCGGGCATCTAAGTCGGGTTTGAGCGAAGACCAGGACATCTTCGGCAAAAAGATCGCCCTTCGTTCCTTGGTTGGTGCTCTCTGGCTGTTTCTTGCACCCATTCAGATGAGTCCAGATCAGACTGGATTGATCTTGGGTTTGGATCATCGGACAGTGCGGGGTCTCTTCAACAACTTCCGCTCTTGGTTGAGTCCAATAGTTGACCGGCTGAACGAGGACTGACAAACTTTTATGCTTGGCTTGATTCTTAAGGCCATGACAAGATTTAGAAGTTGTAGTTACAACTTTAAAGTGCTCGATGAAGGACTTGGTGATTGGTGCGTTGGGTGCAGATGTGGAGCTCGATGAGATTAGCTTCAGATCGAAGGCGCTTGACGACAAGATCCTGTGGAATCGTTATGCCGCAGCCGTCAAGCGTGGAAGTGCTAAAGTCTTCATAGAGAAGTTGCCGAACCGCTTGACTGCTGCTGGGCAGGGGGGGAGGGGGACCTCTGTCCATTGATGAGCTTAAGAAGCTTGTAGTCACATCCAAGGGAAGCAGTCGCTTGGCACAAGGTTCTGTGTGCCATACGGATTCCGCTAAAGCTTACAAGAAGTTGGCCTTTGACGAACCGATGCCAGCTTTGTACAGCGGTGCCTTGGCAGGGCCTTCGTTTTCTGAGTTGAAGCTAGCCCACAGCAACGTCAAGCATAAGCCGCCTCACCCAGAGTTTGCCCGAACGTTCCGAATGAAAGTTTGGACAGGGCTCGCTTGGACCGAAGAAATTAGGGTAGGTGGCACTCAGAAGCTTGATGGCTTCTTCGCATCGTTTAGAAGAGAGGTGGGCAAGCGGTCTTTCAACACAACAGGACCCACTCCTGAAACAGCGCAAACTTTCGAACAGCAGCTTCACGAAAGGATGCGGGTGTTTCAGTTTTTGTTTTGGTTTTCCTATGCAGACTGTTTCCAAGTTTTCGCAGCACTTCGCCAGGCTGAGCGAACAGCTGTCGGAAGTGCTTCTTTGGAAACTCTAAAGCGATTTTTGGGTGATGGAAAGGCGCCAACTGCCGAACACCCGCAACTTGTTGAAGGGCAAGTTGCAGGGGCAGCAGCTCCAAATGTCCAAGACATTCCGGCTGGTGGCGCTGATGTGCCCCCCGATGATGAGAATCCTTTTGCCGATCTCGAGAGTGAGCCCGAAGTTTGCGAAGTTTCGGATGCCGACACGTATGAAAGCATTCCAATTCGGTTGCTCAGCTGAAACCGCAACTGCGCCGCTGCCAGCGCAGAAATATGCTTTGCAGCTCTTCTGTTTGAACTTTGCGAATTTTAGGACCTTTAGGACTTAGGATGTTCTGTTAGAGATTTTGTTTTTATTTTTTGTGATAGCAAAAATGGGTTTTGGGCGCTTTGGCCAAGAAGTCAAAAGACCATACATGGTTTTGAGAGTTTGGCTCTGACTTTAAAGGTGGTGTTGGCTGTTCGGTCTCGCAGTCACAGCAGCAGACGTGCTTCTGAGAGACTTGACCTGAGACCCCAAGGTTTTGAGGCTGTGTTGACTGTTTGGATTCAAAGTCAAAGTAGCAGACGTGGTTCTGGGAGACTTGACCTGACAGGCGAAGGTTTTGAGGTGGTGTTGACTGTCTGGATTCGCAGTCGCAGTAGCAGACGTATTTCGGGGAGACTTGACCTTGGAGTCCAAAGTCAAAGTGGCAGACGTGGTTCTGGGAGACTTGACCTTGGAGGCAGGTTTTAAGGCACAAATGTGGTGTTTGGAGGCCTGCCTTCCAGGCAAGGGCTTGGCAACCAAGTCAGGGTGTGCGCCGCTCCAGGCGCCACGCCTTCAGAAAGGTGCGCCAAAGGAGCCGGCGGAGCGGTTTTGGGTGCGCTTGCCAGCGAAAAAGGGGGCGTGGCATTTGGAGCGGCGCGGCTGATGCCGCGCCGCCCTGTGGTTAAGTTTACCGCGCGCGACGCCGCGCCCGGCAATTATGAGGGTTGTATGGCGATGGTGATGGTGGCAGATATTCGAGGAAGGTATTAATGATGAAGATGACGACGACAAGGATGACGTTGATCATGGTCTGATTGTCGACTCATGTCCCGGTCTAGAGCAGCACAACATCATGAGCAGTATCACCGGTGCCACAGCAAGAGGGAAGACAAGGAGTAACACATAAGAACGTCGCGGCAAAAAGAGTACCACCACAGGCCCCACACCACAGGGGGGGCGGGGGGGAAGGGGGGAGGATACCATGGGGTGGGGGGGGAGGGGGGTGTGGCAGCCCTGCATCATATATACCCGCACATGCTGTGTCGGCAGTACTGTAGGAACCTGATTAAGCAACTCTGGGCTTATAACCCCAAAATAGTATGATTAATGTGTAAAGGCCCAAGGTTTCTTAATCAGGTTCCTACATCAAGGCCCCTATATCATAGACCCCTATTGGAGATCCCTTATAGAACCCTTTCAGGAACCCTTAAAGCAACCCTATTCTAATTATTAAGCCCCCCGGCTATGTCGGAAGTACACTTCCAATCCACTGCGTCGCTGTGCTGCGCATGTCCGCCGGCTCTGAACTCCAAGCCTGACTATGTAGTGGTGGGTAACAGGTAGAGTTACAAGTGCCCCAAATGGGATCCTAGT